ATTACAGAATGATTATTACAGTAATCAGATTGTACACACACCCACGTATACAATCATCTGCCTCCCCCAAAGACAACCCAAACATTTGCCTGCCAGAAACCTCTGGAGGAAATGATTACTTGTCATATTATCTCATTGCTCCTACACAAGCATCCCCTCCCTCCCTCTTATTCCTCGCTCTTATCCATCTTCTACCCCACAGTGATGAGGAATAATGTCAGAGGTAATGGCCAACATTAATCAGGACCAACAAAACACAAGCAGACATTCCTGCCCATCTGTCATTGGGTTGTCACTTCCTGTTTGTGGGAGAGGGGACTGATCCTCTCGTCTCTACGTTTTGTCCCATCTGGTTAGAGTTAATATGGACCAATATCCATCCCAACACACACACACACACAATTACAAGCAAGAATATCAATACTGCCCTGTTCAAATGTGAGATGAAGCAAGAATGTGTTACAGCATGGTTGTACATGTGCTCTACATCCACACACATCTATATGAGTGTGACGCCCACCTCTAGGAACTGGGCGGTGACTTTAAACTCTGGTGGCTGGCTGCCGGACTCTTGGGCGCGCACCCTCCTGTTCTGTATTCCCTCAAACAGGTGGTGAACAGCGCGCGGGATGATGCCCTGCTCCTGCTGGCTTAGGCTCACATCGAAGCCCGTCCCCATGGTGTAGGTCTTCCCCGAACCCGTCTGGAACACATTTCATCTACCATGTAAGATCACATTTACTGTGTACTCGCAAACATCACACATCCTAAATGTATGCCCAGTAACCTGTTTTTACATGCATGGTTTGGCACTTGTGGCAGTTTATCAAACTGATTCCCTGTGTGTGGTTTTTTGTTAGGTGTGGGTACATTATAGAACATATACATGTATACAGTCTTTTGTTTTTAACTTTCCTTCTTTATGTTATTATGTTAATCTAGGAAGCAATGTATTCCCAATATTGAAATGGGCATTCCCCAGAAAACTATGTTATACTTTCTGCTTTTGTCATTTCAGGGGAAAAAATCACAATAAAATATAACAGCAGTAAATATAACCAGATAATATTGTATACAAAACTTACTCAAAACACACTTAAAATGACTCTACATTACATTATTAGAGTTGGGAATGCCATAGCACATTG